ACAAGTTTAAGTATAGGCATGTTTGGAGTGCTCGCTACCACACGCGTACACAATTCACCGAGTCAAGGATATTCTCCCGGCGGTAGTTGTTTTGGTTGAAAACATGTTTTTGATATTTTCAATTCCATTAATTCTAAGTTCGCGTGACCATGACGTGAGTTCCGGTAGCTCCAAATTACAGCTTTAAGACGTACAATATTTGCCTCTGGAAGGAGGGCCGGAACATTTATGTTTTCTTGTAAGACATTTTTTTCAGGACACACAGTGTGTCCGACGAGAGAAAATTATTTTTTGTCCAATGCTATAAGGAACAAGTAATGATTTTTATACTTTCTTTCTTTGTTGTTTAACGCCACACTCAGCAATATTCCAGCTATATGACGGCGGTCTGTAAATAATCGAGTCTGGACCAGATAATCCAGTGATTGACATCATGAGCCTCGATCCACGCAATTGGGATATTCAGACATGGATCAACCAAGTCAAATGGCCTGACCACCCGATCCCGTTAGTCGCCTTTTACGACAAGCATGGGTTGCTGAAGACCTATTCTATCCCGGATCTTCACGGGTCAATGGATGTTTTAGAAAGGCGTAGACGGGTTTGGTTTCAGGACGCTCATTACAACAGTTGTGTAGAGTTGTTGCAGATGAATTTCAACATTTTAATATTTGTACGTTTCATTACGGCTACATTCGGGGATTTAACGTGTGTCAGAAACACATTGAATTTCGCGAACACCTGGTGTCATCGCTGATTGTCAGTGATCCAGTCATTTCATGTTCACCGCTATTTTGCCTTTTGCGCCCAATGGAATCTGTTTCGGACAGACGAGACTGGTTGTTGTCTGGGGTTGTTTGTGGACATTCCCTCCTGCATATGGTGGCCTGCATGCTTAGGATAGTGTCACAGTGATGTTCATACCCTACCACGTCTGTCATACACCACCACGTCTGTCATACACCACCACGTCTGTCATATCCTACAACGTCTGTCATACCAACTACGTCTGTCATACCCCACCACGTCTGTCATACACCACCACGTCTGTCATATCCTACAACGTCTGTCATACCAACTACGTCTGTCATACCCCACCACGTCTGTCATACACCACCACGTCTGTCATATCCTACAACGTCTGTCATACCAACTACGTCTGTCATACCCCACCACGTCTGTCATACCCCAACACGTCTGTCATATCCTACAACGTCTGTCATACCAACTACATCTGTCATACCCCACCACGTCTGTCATACACCACCACGTCTGTCATATCCTACAACGTCTGTCATACCAACTACGTCTGTCATACCCCACCACGTCTGTCATACACCACCACGTCTGTCATATCCTACAACGTCTGTCATACCAACTACGTCTGTCATACCCCACCACGTCTGTCATACCCCACCACGTCTGTCATACCCTACCACGTCTGCCATACCCACCACGTCTGTCAAACACCACCACGTCTGTCATACCCTACCACGTCTGTCATACACCACCACGTCTGTCATACCCTACCACGTCTGCCATACACAACCACGTCTGTCATACCCCACCACGTCTGTCATACCCCACCACGTCTGTCATAGACAACCACGTCTGTCATACCCTACCTCGTCTGTCATACACAACCACGTCTGCCATACACAACCACGTCTGTCATACACCACCACGTCTGTCATATCCTACAACGTCTGTCATACCAACTACGTCTGTCATACCCCACCACGTCTGTCATACCCCACCACGTCTGTCATACCCTACCACGTCTGCCATACCCACCACGTCTGTCGAACACCACCACGTCTGTCATACCCTACCACGTCTGTCATACACCACCACGTCTGTCATACCCTACCACGTCTGCCATACACAACCACGTCTGTCATACCCCACCACGTCTGTCATACCCCACCACGTCTGTCATAGACAACCACGTCTGTCATACCCTACCTCGTCTGTCATACACAACCACGTCTGCCATACACAACCACGTCTGTCATACCCAACCACGTCTGTCATACCCCACCACGTCAGTCATACACAACCACGTCTGTCATACACAACCACGTCTGTCATACACCAGAACGTCTGTCATACACCACCACGTCTGTCATGCCCTACCACGTCTGTCATATACAACCACGTCTGTCATACCCTACCACGTCTGTCATACACCACCACGTCTGTCATACACCACCACGTCTGTCATACCCCACCACGTCTGTCATACCCCACCACGTCTGTCATACACCACCACGTCTGTCATACCCCACCACGTCTGTCATACCCTACGTCTGTCATACCCTACCACGTCTGTCATATACCACCACGTCTGTCATACACCACCACGTCTGTCATACCCTACCACGTCTGTCATACCTACCACGTCTGTCATACCCACAACGTCTGTCATACCCTACCATGTCTGTCATACCCCACCACGTCTGTCATACCCACAACGTCTGTCATACCCTACAACGTCTGTCATACCCCACCACGTCTGTCATACCCACAACGTCTGTCATACCCTACAGTTTGTCATACCTACCACGTCGGTCATACCCCACCACGTCTGCCATACCCCACCACGTCTGTCATACCCCACCACGTCTGTCATACCCCACCACGTCTGTCATACCCACTACGTCTGTCATACCCCACCACGTCTGTCATACCCTACAGTTTGTCATACCCTACTACGTCTGTAATACACAACCATGTCTGTCATACCCCACCACGTCTGCCATACACAACCACGTCTGTCATACCCTACCACGTCTGTCATACCCCACCACGTCTGTCATACCCACCACGTCTGTCATACCCTACTGTGTCTGTCATACCCACCACGTCTGTCATACCCCACCACGTCTGTCATACCCTACAGTTTGTCATACCCTACGTCTGTCATACCCTACTGTGTCTGTCATATCCAACAGTTTGTCATACCCCACTGTCTGCCATACCCCACACAACAGTTGGCATGCACTTCAACCTTTGTCATACCCTTTCTTCTGTGTCAAACAGTTTTATCTGCCAATATATTATTATCAAATACTCTTCTCTCTATGTCATATCCTTCAACCTGTCATACCCTTCAATACATACCATACCTTCAAACTCCGTCACACACTTCAACCTTTCGCCATACCCTTCAATCCCTGCCTTTACTCTTTCTTCTATATCATACCCTCAACCTGTCGACCGCCTCCGTGGTCGAGTGGTAGAGTGCCCGCCCGGAGAGCGGAAGGTCCGGGGTTCGATCCCCGGCCGCGTCATACCAAAAGAGTTAAAAGATGGTTCTTGTTGTTACCCTGTCTGGCGCTCGGCATTAAGGGGCTAAAACAAGGACTGGTCGGCTCGGAGTCAGTATACTGTGTCTGAGTGGGGTATTCATGTTAAACTGCGGCATGGTATCTTAGTGAGCTAGCACTATAAATCGGCATCAGTCCGGACTAGTACAAGCAGCCACACAAACACACACAGGTACATGCACGTCGCAATGTAAGTGCAATAATCTTGGACGCGACGTTAAACCCCATTTCACCTCACCTCACCTCACACTGTCATACCCTTCGGTACATATACCTATGTCATATCGTTCAACCTCTGTCATACTCTTTCATCTGTGTCAAACCCTTCCATCTGTCATACCGTTCACTATATGCTATACGCTGTTCCCTGTACGTCATAAAGCCCATTTCTGGTGTCCTCCGCCGTGATATTGCTGGAATATTGCTAAAAGCGGCGTAACACCATACTCACTGTACGTCATAACCTTCAACCCGCATAACGTCCAATCCAGGCCATACCTTCCGTCTGTCATCCCCTTCAGTCTCAGCCATACCCATGAACCTTTGCAATACCCTTCCAATTCTCCATCTTTATACCCGTCCACCTCGGATACATGCCTCCACGCTTATCACATCATCATCATCATCATCATCATCATCATCATCATCTTACATCACCTGTCACAATGCCCCGTGAAGATCCGGGTTCGAATTTGTCTTCAGCAACCCATGCTTGTCATAAGATGAGACCAACGGGATCGGGTGGTCAGGCTCGCTGACTTGATTGATGCATGTCATCGAATCCCAGTTGAGTTGACCGATGCTAACGATAGCAATCACTGGTCTGTCTGGTCCAGACTCGACTATTCACAGGGCTCCGTTGTCAATGGAATATCGCTGTATGCGGTGTTAAACAACAAACAAACAAAACCTGTCACTTTACAATAGCTGCACTGTCTCCGTGATCCGATGAGTGCTTTAACCGGCTGACTTTTTACCAGTGTAAACAACCTCAGCTACAAATCCACATGCCTCAGTCATCTATCCAACCGTCTGTACAGACCCAGCCTAACCGCTTCATTATTTAAGCAAACAATCAGACAACGTACACAACAATCGCATCACATTAGAGATATGTGCTTGATTATATCATCAAACAAACACTGCCCAATGAAGCGATCCATCGTCAGCAGGTGCTTGCACGTGAATCTCCCTGGCGACAATGCCATCGAGTCTTGTTAAATTAAACAGCGTCGCTAACAGACTTAATTGTAAAATAGACTTGATAACTCCGCGAGAAGCATACCGCGTACTGGTGCTAAGTGTAGTTGTGAAAGGAATTAGCAACGCATCTTTTGTAACGAGAGTGCGTACAGTCATATTATTTTCTCCACACTGCCGATATCGATTGAGTCAGCAGTAAAGTCCCATCACGATATATACGTGCAACTGTGTCTAGGAATGCGGCGTATGACATGACTGACATTAGTGTTTTGGCCACATGGCCCACAGGGGCTGTTGTTGTCCCTGTTACCCCACGTGACGGCCCCAGCCATCGTCCCACACAGAGAAGCCCCTCCGTTGTGAGTATAAAATATGCATCCAGCTGATGAATGACCAGCATGTGCCACACTCAGCCAATCAATGACATGGATTCTTCCAGACGGAGAATATCATCCAATCAGACGGGAGTACGGTCTTGCGGCTGGTGAGCAACACACGATCTTGCGTCAAGGATTGATTCCGGCAAATGACTTGAAAAGCCAAAATCGGGGAATAATGGTTCACTTTTGGAAGCGACGTACATCTTCGCAGCATTGCGAAAAGATGCCGCATGGTCGGCCTAGCCATTCTCCGTTGCTGAAGCCTTTCAGTGCTTTAGCGACACCGGGGATGTATCTGTTTTCAAAATACAACGAATATAAGCGCCAACAACAGGAACAACAAAAACGCAAGGTTACCGAGAAAGAACTGGAAAACCTTAACCAGAAAATAGTGAGTACTACGTTTTTTCTACCCCACAGCCACCCCGGTGGCAGTTCTATAACATTGTCAGTCTCAAATACCATCATGCCATTGATTTCTGCCTATCAGAGCCATGTTGCACTCGGTTCGTCTGCTTCACTAAGAGCAGACGATAAATTCCCTGTCGTCTGCTAGGAAACTCAAGCTGTTTCAGTCCAGTCGAACTCCGTTGTTGTAGTACCAACATTTATAGCTCCCAGGGGGATGCACGGCACAGCTGAAAAGGCCGGTTATTTACGCCTAATATTGACTTGTTCCACGAACGTACTTATGGATTTCTCTCGACCACACAACACAAAATGACAACCACATTACACACTGACAATCTAATTTACACAAGTACAAAAGAGTCCTTTTCGCTCTGATAATCCCCTTCCTCGTCTGAGAAACAGACCAAGGAACAGGCAGTGTTGATTATGATTCTACGAAGCATGACTTATTAAAAACAAACATAATCCATGCAAGACCAAAGGAAGGTCGATAGCTCTCTGGACAACATCAAACAGACCATGAAGACTATTGCACAACATATTTGTGAACCATGTCTACACCATGTTGTTACACAATTCTCTTCCAGTCTGACTCGAAGTCTGTTTTGGAGAAATTCTGATGCCCTGTATCTGTCACCATCAATCAATCGCTTATCTTGTTTAGAGTGATGCAGTTCCTCCGTACCAGATTCGTTTAGTGCCTCTTTGAATAACGGTTCGGTAAGGACCATCACATGCAATCTCACAAACGGTGTGTGTTTTTAATCGGCCTGCCACATAGGCAAAGCACTTGCGGTACCGTCGGTGGATATTTAACATGTATATCGATATCCACTTAAGATCTACAATTACACAGTTCGTTGTGACATGGAACACAGTATTTATTAAGACAGGAATATTATCAGGGACATAAAATACATTAATATTTAACGTGCATCGGGAAAATACCGATGCATATCAGAGTGTGCAAATGTGTGCATGTGCATTCCAGTGCAGGCGAAAGTGCATGGCACGAAGAATGAACGTGTACTGTTCGGTCAGTCCTTGGCATGACAATGCAGGACAAAGCCAGTATCATTGTATTTCATACTAGAGTTTCAATCTTAGTATAATGCATTAAAATACGACGAATTCTTCACTACTTCAAATATTACTACTACTACTACTAATACTACTACGAATAATACTACTACGAACAATAATAACTATTATTATTATTATTACCTCTACTACTACTACTACTACTACTACTTCTTCGACCACTACTACTACTACTCACAAAACTGCTACTACTAGTACTACTACTAATAATAATAACAATAATAATAATGATAATAACACTATTATTACTTTTACTTCTACGCTCACTACTGCTACTACTTATAATATTACCAATACAGCTGCTGCTTCAACAACTACTACTACTTTTACTACAGCTACTACTACTACCACCACCACTGCAACTACTAATACTGCTGCCTCTGCTATTGTTCTAATAAGATTTTTAATCCTTCTACTGCTTCTCCTACTACATTTGCAACTGCTACGTCGTCTATTACTACTTCTGCTACTACTACTACTACTACTACTACTACTTCTACTAAGCAGTGACATGCAGACCTATCAATAGGAATAGTGCCTTCGTATACTACTACTGCTGCTACTACTACATTTGCAACTGCTACGTCGTCTATTACTACTTCTGCTACTACTACTACTACTACTACTACTACTACTACTACTACTAAGCAGTGTCACGCAGACCTATCAATAGGAATAGTGCCTTCGTATACTACTACCGCTACTACTACTACAACTACTACTAAGCAGTGTCACGCAGACCTATCAATAGGAACAATGCCTTGTATATGATCTTAATATTACATATATGATGGGGAATAGGGCGTGGTTTCACACGACGTGGGTAGTTTCATTCTGGTATTAACAATGTTGAATAAGGTGAGCGCTGAGGTGTCCTCTTCCAAACAATCCAAATTTGAAACCCTTACCAAGTACCATGACTCATCGCTGATTTCAAACAATATCAATAGCCAGTCTCACCCCAAACATATGCCAAGACCATGACATAAACGACAGTGTTTAATGGTTTCTTTCCAGATGTTTGATATCAAGTTATCAATCATTAAACATATGTCAGAATAACGTGATACCACCGATCAGGCTGTGCATGTACAGATGCTGTATAGTCCTTGTGCCCTTGTCTCATACAATACCGTTATACAACGGTAAATGTGAGCACGGCTAAGCCTTCATGGTCAGTGTCATGCCACAAATTGACATGCTTAGCCATGATGTCATGCGACAACGTACCGCGGGCCATGCTTGACTTTCTCCGATGCTTTAATCCTGTACATCTGTGCAGAGATTCATCCATATAACACTGTGTAGTGGCACGCCTCATCCCCTATAGGAAGATATATATGTTACACAACCTTCGTTCCTCACCCAGGAGCTTTTTTTAAAACAGGACACGGCACAATGGATATGGTTGGGAGAGGGTGGGTGTTCGGATAACTTTCAACGCGCAAGATGAAATTCGAAATCGTGTTATATTCATTGAAACATATCCGAATGATTTTTAGTATTTTTTATACATACACTGCTGGGCTAAATAAAGTATACACTTGACAATTGGAGTTGACCCAAAACTTACAAACTTTAAATTTTACTAGACAGTCGCCGAAACATTACCAAATTAAGGTCCAGAACTCAACTCCGATACCCCATCAAAAACATCACCGTCAAATACAGTAAACTACGGTTATAACGAACACGCTTATAACGAACTGACGGATATAACGAACTTACTTTTGGGTCCCGACTACTTGCTGTTGTTATACTGTATATATGCTTATAACGAACTACGGTTATAACGAACTAAAATTAGTAGTCCCTTTGAGTTCGTTATAACCGTACTTTACTGTAAGCCATTTCTTGTCTGTTTCATTTTAACCAACATCAAACAGTTTACTTCAGGTATCTGTATAGAGGGTTTCTATCAATGCATGCAACTTCAGTGAACGTGTCCGACAATTGACACGCGGTCCACGTGATGTATGTATATTCACGTTGCAACACTAGAATATATCATTACTTCCTGTCTCTGTGACGTGGTCCTGGGTGTGTCAGCACCATACCCGTTCTTCAGGGTTTCACCAAAGTGGTAACCGTCTCAGACCTGCATCACTTCGGGCTTCCCTCCCACATGAAGCAGACACGCTGTGATATAACTGGAACAAGAGGCGTTAAGCCCAACTCACACACTCACCCACCCTCTTAATAAAATCTGCTATACATTCTGTTATTTGTAACTCACTCTTACAATGAACGCCACTAAATGACTCATGCATATCAATAATTGTAAAACACATGCGTTATAGTGAAACTATTTGTTTTTCACAATGTTATACTGAAATACTTTTCAAAGTTGATTTGGGCACGATACTGTATATTAGTAAATGACTCATACACATCTGCATCCATCCATACATACATGCATACAATTATACCACGCACCCGTAATAGTGAAACTATTTGTTTTTCACGATGTTATACTCAAATTCTTTTCAAATCTGCTTTGAGCACGACACTGTATATTAGTAAATGACTCATACACATCTGCATCCATCTATCCATACATACATGCAATTATACCACGCACCCGTAATAGTGAAACTATTTGTTTTTCACAATGTTATACTCAAATTCTTTTCAAATCTGCTTTGAGCACGAAACTATATTAGTAAATGACTCATACATACCTGCATGCATACATACATACATACATACATACATACATACATACATACATACATACATACATACATACATACATACATACATACATACATACATACATACATACATACATACATACATACATACTTACATACATACATACATGCAATTATACCACGCACCCATAATAGTGAAACTATTTGTTTTTCACAATATTCACGTACGCTACGGTGATAGGTATAGAGATGTTCTCACAAGTTATTTCTCAATACCCATGTGTAGGCGTGCAATATACGTACTAACGATACGATGTAATCCAATTTACATCTATTTACTCCATGACATGATGTAAAATTTGCTCCTTTAAGCAAAAACGCAAAAGTACTGAATTCGCTGTTTTGACAAGTAACCAGACAAATGTATATTGAGCATGTATTTAGATATCCCTTGTGCGTAAACATGAACGCGAAGCGGGTACTAGTGTTGTTCACAGACCGGAACATGCATGTGTTAATAATGTATATGACCAAGATGCTATTGTGTTAAGTCAGTGTGACGTTAATGTATTGTTTGATTCCAAACAACGACCCTTATTATCCAATAACCTTGCTTTACTGCACGAAGTCAATACGTTGTGATTTTAGAGTGAATACCGGTAATCCAGACTGCACCTTTCCCAGTGAAACCGTTCGGATTAACGAGTGTTAGGATGTGGAAACGTGGTACGTGAAATAGTCCCTGTAAGTTTATACAAACATTCCCGACAGGAATTGTCCAGATTATGGACTTTCCAGATTAACAAGGTGAGGACTATCGGTGTTTTATCGTCTTTAGCGATATAAGTAAAGTGACAACGTTATAAGTAAACTACGGTTATAACGAACTGCTAATTTTAGTTCGTTATAACCGTAGTTCGTTATAAGCATATACACAGCATAACTACAGCAAATAGTCGGGACCAAAAAAGTAAGTTCGTTATATCCGTCAGTTTGTTATAAGCGTGTTCGTTATAACCGTAGTTTACTGTATGTGCGTCCTGCACATTATTCCATTTAGGAAATCAAATAGTGTTGAATTATCATTGGTATGTGTGTTTGTATGTTGGGGTGCGCGTGGAGTGGACCGGAGGGGGTGTCTCAACAGCGTCAGCTACATGAGGTCATATTCTTGGTTTTGAATCGGAACTGGAATTATTCTAACTGTTTGATTGGCATGCTAGAA